TTTAAAATAACTTTTGTCTTTTAACTTTTCCAAAAAATCAAAGAAAAGCCAAAAGGTGTTTGGATAGTTCAAAAGATCTTTTGAAAATGACTTTTGGCAAGAAGAAAATAAAGAGCTTCTAAAAGTCACAAAATCATGACTTTTTGTGACTTTTTGTTGTTTTACCTATAAAAGTTAAATCAAAAATCATTTTGTCAATCCAAACACGTTTTAAAGACCTTTTGCAAAAAGTTATTTTACAATAAGTCTTTCTACAAGAAGGACTTTTGATGCTCAAAAGTAATCCCAAACACCCTCTGATAATTAATAAAAGCATTTGTTTTACTAAACATTGTTGCATATAACAAAATTAAAGGCTGTGAAACATACTTAAAAAAATTGTGCGGTTGTTAGAAATTTAGAATTCATCATGTTAAAAAACCAAACCCACCCATACCGAATAAAGTTTGGGTTATTCGTTTTTCCAGATAATTCGGTTCCATTAATCGGATAAAAAGACATTATTTAGTTTGTGTTTGGTATTTTAGATAATGTTAACTAAGGTTGTCAAAATCAAGATCTTACTTAAAATCGTTTTACGTTTTGCAAGATCGTGATCGTGAGATCGGATCAGGATCGTAAGATCTTACCAAAATAAAGTCATTTTCAAATTTGCTCGCAAGAATAGTGTAATCAACTTTAACTTCTTAAACATCACTCATAGTTTTTATTGCTACAACCGTAAACATTAAGAATAAAACATCTTAATTAGAAATAAGATCATTTTGATCATGTACAAGTAAGACGTAAGATCAAATGGGGGATTATTATGGATGTGCTGTGCCTAACTTGAGATGAATTGATAAAATTGGTGATGATCCAGAAGACTTCTTGCAACTTGTGACGCTCGATTCCAAGTTGAATAGATGAAATTCTGATACTCGGATATATAATAAAACTTGTAACACTTGGTTCATTGTGCTTTTCAGTTTGGACATTCGGGGGTGTAAGGTCTTGCGGATTTGGTCCCTAGGGGCAGAATTGTCAACTTCAGGGAAGTTGGAGTACGCTGGGCGTACTAATGCAGGTTGGTCGCGGAGCTCATCCACATATGTTGGGCGTACGTGGAGTACGCTTAGCGTACGTGAGAAGTTTATAAACCCTAATTTTAGGGCTTGTACCCTATATAAACCATAAGATAACCTCTTTTTGCCTTGTTTAACCAACCTCCTTACCCTTGAAAACCCTAATTCGCCCATTTGCTTTGTGAGGTGCTCTCTTGAGCTTTGGTCTTGATTTTGGTGGTTTGTGCTCCTTGAAGTGATAAAAAAAAAAGTTGGAAGACCCATTCATTGGAGGAAAGCTTAGAGATCCAGATTTAGCTCCATCTTTTGGTGACATTTGAGGTATAAAGTTCATAGCTTGTCTACTCCGTGCTTTGATCTACCCTTTAGCTTGTTATGGTCCTTTTTGGTTGGTCCTGATGAGTTAAGACCGTTTTAGAAGCTAATTCTTGTAGATCTAGATGTTTAGAGGGTTCCTTAAGCTTAAAGGTGCAAACTTTATGGTATTGGTGGTCTCATGCATGCATTAAGTCATTTGTTAAGTCCTTTTAAGCTTTAAGAGCCTCATTAAGCCATGCATGCATGTAAAGTTGGCAACTTTACGTGATGAGCCACCTTAAGGAAGCCAGATCTAAGTGTTTTAGTGAAGTCTTAATCGATTAAGAGCTGGAGAAGGAAAGTTGGCCAAATAGGGGGAGTACGTTGGGCGTACAAACTTGTACGCACCGCGTACAAGCCCTGAAACGAGTACGCCTAGCGTACAAGCTAAGTACCCTCCGCGTACTCAGCAAATTGGGCTTCGATCGTTTTGGGGCTCTAGGTTCTGGGCTATGTTGGAACTTAGTTGTTTTGGGCCTTGTTGGGCCATCAGGGTTCCATTGTTGGGCTGTTAATATTTTATTGGAGTTTCATGGATGAAGGCCCATGAAAGGGGGTTGGGCCAAATTTGGAAAATTGGGCCATATTGGGCTTTGGGTGGTTATTTGGGAATTTGGGCTTTTGGACAATTGAATTGGGCCCTAGCCTTGGGCCAAGTTGGGTGTAACGCCCTGTTCCTTGTATGTATTTAATTTACTAAATATTCATTTTGTAAGAGCTACTCGACGAGTTGGTAGCCCTAACTCGTCGAGTAGGTGCCAGCTTGGACGCGAGATTTAAATGGTCTACTCGACGAGTCCGAGCTTGGACTCGGCAAGTAGGTCCATCAGGAGGAAACCCTAATTTTCATGGTTGCATCCTATTTAAGCATCATATCTGGCCTCCACCCCAACCTCCATCACCTCCAAACCTTATTATCGAAACCCTAATCCACCATAAGTGATCTTGAGCTAGTTCTTGCCATTTTTGAGTGTTTTTGTACATTGTGAAGCTTGTAGAAGAAGTAGAAGATTGAAGACTCAAAGGGGAAGAAGTAGATCCAGGAGCTACACTTCATTTACTGCATTTTCTGGTAATCAAGCTTCCAACTTGATCATTCTTCTCTTAGATCTAGTTATCTCCATATTATGAAAGTTTTGGGTCAAGAACCTTGGTCCTTGGGGTTGGGACGTCCCAAGTGACTTATATCTCAGATCTAGGACCTAGAAAGGGTTCCATGGCATAAAGGTGCAAACTTTATGACCATGGAAGCCCCATGCAAGCATATGATCAAGTTTATGGTCTTTTTAGCCCTAAAAGACCATGCATGGAAGGAAAGTTCGAAGCTTTATGTGTCCAACAGATGCTAAGACCTTAGATTTGGGTTTGTATGCGTGGAATTGAGATTATATGGCCTTTTGGACAAGATTCATGTATTATAAGAATTAGGGTTTTGTCTAAACCCTTTTAGAGGAGCTATGGATGGGTAAATTTGGAAAACTTTACCCTTAGGAAGGCCTTTCTAGTGGACAAACGAGCTAAGAACCTTGGATCTAGAAAATAGGGGCTTAATCTGTTAAGATGGCCAAACAGACATAAGGACTCGTCGAGTCCATAAGGGAACTTGACGAGTCGTATCGTGTTGTCCCGATTTTTATGTCAACAAGAACTCGACGAGTCTGTTAGGGAACTCGACGAGTTGACTCAGTTGACCACGGGTTTAAGCATTCAGGAACTCGTCGAGTTGGGAGATAACTCGACGAGTTGGGTTGACTAGGAGCTGACCTTGACTTTGACTTTGACTATGGGTAAAATGGTCATTTTACCCTAAGAGAGGATTATCAGATTCTGATTAAGTGTTATTATGGAATTGATAGCCGGAGAGTCGCCGGAGCAGCAGACAGGGATTCCTCGCTCGAGTTTTCAGCAGCCAGTCTTGCGAGGTGAGTTTCCTTCAGTAGGAACGGGCGGGGCCTGAATCTCCTAGACAGCGGAGTGTAGGCGGGGCCCGAATCTCCTAGACAGCGGAGTGTGGGTGGGGCCTGAATCTCCTAGATAGCGGAGTGTAGGCTGGGCCCGGATCTCCTAGATAGCAGAGTGTGGGCGGGGCCCGAATCTCCTAGACAGCAGAATGTGGGCGGGGACCGAATCTCCATGAGAGTGGGTGGGGCGCGTATCTCCTAGTTGCATGATTATGTGTATGGTATGTGGTGGTTTGGGGAGACTCACTAAGCTTCGTGCTTACAGTTTTCAGTTTTGGTTTCAGGTACTTCCACTAGCAAGGGGAAGGGCTCGGGATGATCGCATGGCACACACCACAGTTTCAGCCTGGGATTGTTTTAGACTCTGATGATTACTTATATGATTTGATATAGTATTTGACATGATGTTTTTGAGATACATGGTTCTTGTTTTATTATGATGATGGATGTTTATGGTTTAAATAATGATTTTAAAACGAAATTTTTGGACCGTATTTTTGGGTTGTTTCATTGGGTAAAGTGTAAAAAGGCCTTTTAACCTAGTTTGGACTCTTAGTGTGAGTCGGGATCCAATTATTAATTGAATGTTGTTCTGTGGTTGATAGCGCGAGGATTTTAGCGGACCATCAGCCAAAGATTTATCTGTGGGATTCAGCAGTGTGAGGTTAGTTTTCTCACTATGTTAGCGGGTCGAAGGCACCAATGCCGGCCCATGAGTTGTTATGTTTAGGATGCTAGATGTCTGATTGACTCTCGCATATGTTTTATGTTTGCATGTTTACTGGGCGGAGCCCGATGCTGGGCAGGGCCTGATGTGGGGCGGGGTCCCGATGACCATTATGTATGCTATTTATCTTTGTGATTATTGCATGTGTATGTGTTCATCTGCTTATATGTTTATATGTATACCGGGTAGGGCCCGATGCCGGGCGGGGCCTGATGATTGACAGACCTGTATACCGATCGGGGCTCGATGTCGGGCGGGGCCCAGTATATGTTGATATGTATGGTATGTGATATTTTGGGGAACTCACTAAGCTTGGTGGTTACGGTTTTCAATTTATGTTTCAGGTACTTTTGGTTTCAAAAGGAGGAGCTCGGGATGATTGCAGGGCACACACCATTCGATTTCGTATTTTATGATTTACTCTGATAATGATGATGTGATAAAATTTGATTACCTTGGTTTTATACCAATGATATGGTTACTGTTTTATTAATTTAAAATCGAGAATTTTCGGGTCCTACTTTTAAGACGTTACAAAACTAAAGAGGTGAGGTCGATATTGTTGTGTGATCGAAGTCGTTTTTCACTTGTAGCATCTTAAAATCGTAAGATCATAAGATCAAAATCGAGATTTTAATAACATTGATGTAATGACAATTTTGTTCTCGTATTTTAAAATTTGCTAAACGAAAAATAATTTAGTTAGCATTTAAATGAATTGACCCACATATTGATCCGATTAGATGGGTCGATCCATTAGATTGACTATCATTGGATCATATAAATGAATGAGACTACAAATATGAACCGACCCATCAACAACAGCCTAACATGCCGTAACGAAGAGGATTATTCATGGCCAATTACCAGTTAGCGGGTATATAGTGTTACGTATGGTATGATTCAGGGACTGTTGATGCAATCTTTCCCAAGTAAAACTAAAGCAATCCCCTCCACCTCCAGAACCCTAGCCTAAGCAAATTGTGCGTGCGTGTCTGCTGGGGTTCTACCTTCACTCATCATCGTGTGTTCCAAACACACGCCGGATTCTTTCTTCTCACAACTGCAACTGTTCGATCCCTAGCAATGGCTGATCGACTAACGCGTATTGCCATCCTCAAAGAGGACCGTTGCAAGCCAAAGAAGTGTCGTCAAGAATGTAAAAAGAGCTGTCCTGTCGTCAAAACTGGTACAATCGCCTAATTCTTTCGTTATCGAATTTGGATTAGAAACCTATTTTGTGTTTTCTGATGTTGTCTTTTTGCTCTGATGATTTAGTCTTTGATGTACTGATCTGTGTAGGGTTTAGTCTTTGTTGTAATTGAGATTCATTTATGATTTACCTCTGGGTAGATACCGCTGCACAACTTTGTGGATGCCGATCGATTTATTAAATAGTATAGTGGAATTGGGTTTGGGGGGTGGGGTTGTATAACTTGTTTTGGTTGTATGGTTTCTTTTCTAATTGATGGTAGCTATAGCTTTGTTGGGAAGTAAATGGTGAGTTTGAAAAAACGAGAAATGGGATGTGTTTTAGCTCAACTAACAATTTTGAGGGTAAATGGTGATGGTGTTGCAACATTTCTGAACTTGAGATGTTTGAAACACTCATATGCATTTCCTTTTGGCAGGTAAGTTGTGTATTGAAGTCACTTCTGCATCCAAGGTGGCATATATCTCTGAGGAGCTTTGCATAGGGTGTGGTATATGTGTTAAGGTATGTGTATATTGTGATACCCTTTGCTTGGCTTTTTGTTTTCATACAGCTAGAACATGATATCCTTTGCTTTGTTAATGTAGAAATGTCCATTTGATGCAATCGAGATCATCAATTTACCAAAAGATCTGGATAAAGATACAACTCATCGTTATGGGGTCAACACCTTTAAATTACACAGGTCAACAAGCCACTCTGCTTCTTTACACTTGTGTTGCTGTTTACATTGGACACTGACTTGATAAACCTCTAATGGCAGGTTGCCTGTCCCAAGGCCTGGACAAGTTCTTGGTTTGGTTGGCACAAATGGAATTGGGAAGTCTACAGCTCTCAAAGTTCTAGCAGGAAAATTGAAACCTAATTTGGGTCGTTTCAATGTAAACCTCTTGATCCTTTATGGTATATTTGTTTACATTCTTTTAATATTAATTAAGGCTTCATTTATTCTTCCAGAACCCTCCAGATTGGCAAGAAATTTTGACCTACTTCCGGGGATCAGAGTTGCAAAACTACTTTACACGTATTCTTGAAGATAATCTAAAGGTGCGTTCTACTTCATTCGATTTATGTTGATATGATTATGTTTTACTATTTTCTAATTGTATTTGTTGTATTGAAATAGGCTATCATAAAACCTCAGTATGTTGACCATATCCCAAAAGCAGTTCAAGGGAATGTTGGGCAAGTGCTTGATCAGAAGGATGAGAGAGATGTGAAGGCACAACTTTGTGCTGATCTTGAGCTTAATCAAGTTATAGATCGTAATGTTGGAGATTTATCTGGTGGAGAGCTTCAAAGATTTGCAATTGCTGTTGTCGCCATACAAAATGCAGAGATTTATATGTTTGATGAGCCTTCCAGTTATCTTGATGTCAAACAAAGGCTTAAAGCTGCACAAGTTATCAGATCCTTGCTTAGACCCAACAGGTTATTCTACTTATTTCATCCTGTTGCAGCATTGTCACTGCTTTTTCATACAAAAAAGCTTTAAAGTACAATGCTATGATAAAGTAAAAAAATACTGACATTTGGTTTTAGTATTTTAAGATGTTAAATACTGAGAGAGTCTTGATTTCAGCTATGTGATTGTGGTTGAGCATGATTTAAGTGTGCTGGATTACTTATCAGACTTCATTTGCTGCCTTTATGGGAAACCTGGTGCTTATGGTGTTGTCACACTCCCCCTTCTCTGTCCGAGAAGGAATTAATATATTTCTAGAAGGATATGTGCCTACTGAAAATCTTCGTTTTCGTGATGAATCCCTTACTTTTAAGGTAAACTTTTGACATGTTTTTATAATCATAGCGTGTTGTTACAGTTTCACCATTTTCTTCTGAATCAACTTTTTTCTTTTTATGGAAAAAAAGGTGGCTGAGACTCCACAAGAGACAGCTGAAGAGATTGAAACATATGCACGATATAGGTACCCATCAATGGCTAAAACTCAGGGTGGTTTCACACTTAAGGTGGTTGAGGGTGAATTCACAGACTCTCAGATCATAGTAATGCTTGGTGAAAATGGAACAGGGAAGACAACGTTTATCCGTATGCTGGTGCGTGTTATTACTATGTGTTTACTAGATTGATTACTGGTTGGGTAGGTAGCTTTATATTGATGATGATGAAATAAATTATAAATGTGTAGGCTGGTTTGCTGAAGCCTGACACTGTGGAAGATTCTGATGTGGAGATACCTGAATTTAATGTTTCTTACAAGCCTCAGAAGATCAGTCCCAAGTTCCCTCATTCAGTCAGGCATTTGTTGCATCAAAAGATTCGGGACTCTTATATGCATCCTCAGTTTGTTTCTGATGTCATGAAGCCTCTTCAGATTGAGCAGTTAATGGATCAAGAGGTTGTTAATCTTTCTGGTGGTGAATTGCAGCGTGTTGCTTTGTGTCTGTGCCTTGGCAAGGTAATTTTTCTTTTCATATAAATCTTTATTGTATCATTTTACTTTGGAAAACCTACCCAGTTTTGAAAGGAAAGGACATGATTGTGTTTTGTGTGGTTTTGTTTCAGCCTGCGGATATATACCTGATAGATGAGCCGAGTGCATACCTGGATTCTGAGCAGCGTATTGTTGCCTCTAAAGTGATAAAGAGATTCATCCTACATGCTAAAAAGACTGCATTTGTGGTTGAACATGATTTCATAATGGCAACCTACTTAGCAGATAGGGTGATTGTTTATGAAGGGAAGCCATCTATTGATTGTGTTGCAAATTCACCTCAGTCATTATTAACCGGAATGAATCTCTTCTTATCTGTAAGTTATATTTTATTTTGTGTGTTGTTAATAATAATAAATAATAAATAAATATAATAGAATAGAATGGGAATTCATCATATTTGTTGTTGTGCTGCAGCATCTGAACATCACGTTTAGGCGGGACCCAACTAATTACAGGCCAAGAATCAACAAGCTTAATTCAACAAAGGACAGGGAGCAGAAATTTGCTGGATCTTATTACTATCTGGATGAATAAATTTCTTCTCTTCTCATGACCCTACCCTACATGACTCCTAGCTCTGTCGCATACATAGCATAGCAGTCGTATAACCATAGAGAGGCATGAGCTCATCTTCCTTCAGTTGTTGAACATGTTTGATGCTTGATGTTTGTTTTGTTTGAAAAGAGAGTTTTAGATGATATAGCATATGCAGTTACATGTTGCAAATGCTAATATACTTGTTTTATAGTTTGTAATTTCCGGCTTCCTCCATGATTGCTTTACTTTACTTTGAGCACATGTTTTTTTAGCCGGAGGTGATGATTTTTGAGATGACGATGTTTGGAACCTGTTTCTTTTCTTTGGTGATGTTTATTTATTTATTTTGACGCTTAAAAAGAGATTTTCAGGTGAGAATGAATAGAGCAAGAGACGATATTTTATTTTAAGCTTCATTTTTGTTTTTTTTTTCCCTTTCATTCTTTGGGGATGTTTGGAACCTCTTTTTTAGTTGTACAAATATGCTCTTAAATATCATTTTTTTATCTAGATAATATTTTATTAGTTTTATTCAGTTGGTGAGAATTAATTTCACGTCAACACATAATTCGGTAATTCCTCAAATTAGTCCAGATATAGGAGCGGTTTAACTCTTTATAATCATGTATATATTCACTTTAGGGTTAGCACATCAATGTTTCGTCAATTTGCACATTTAATCACTAATGTTTTTTTTGTGCTCAATTGATCCTTAATGTTAGTAAATACCGGCTAATTATCTTCTTATGCACCCGATAAACGGAACAACCGGTGATATTTCTTATTTGGAATAAGTTTAAATTATATATTTCATTTTTTTTATTCACGTAAGATTTAGAAGTCAAAATAAACACATTTATTTACTCACAACTACACTCCTTTGTTCTTTTTTCTCATCTCTCAGTGATTACGAAGCACTAAACCTAGGGTTCGAAGTCATTTTCTCCGAATGAAGTCAGTGAGCAGTCAACCAACCTACAATGTCTAGCTCGACGCCAAACCTGATGGATTCTGCCCTATAGTGGAGTTGAACTCCAAAGGTGTTTTTCTTAGAAATCCTTTCTCGTATAACCATGGTATCATATTCACTTTCAATGATCATGATTTTTTTGGAATGACATACGCTGAATATATCACCTTTCTCGAACAGTTCATGCAAGGAAGTATAAAGAAGTTATACTTCTGTGAACCATGTAAGCCCTTAATATATGGGATAACTGCTATTGCTAATGATGAAGACTATGGTGGTTTCATTTTTCATGCATATGGGACGGATGGTAAAATTTATATGTATGTGGACCATAATGGTCAAGGAATAGACGATTGGTTTGGTTCTGACGTAGAAGAGGAGGATGGAGATGATTCACGCATTGATGGTGGTGAGAATGAGGACGAAATTGATAACCTAATAGATGTGGATGTGGACTTTAATGAGGACATAGTCACTATGAATAGAACAAAGGGTGATGACTTTCTAAATAAATTGTGTGGAAAAGAGGAAGAGGGAAATGATAACAACATAGATGATGATGATGGGCGTGAAGAGGATGCCAATGTAACTTAAGAACATTCCATTTTTAATGAGTTAGTTCCATGGAAAAAGCAGTTCCCAATACTTGGTATGAGGTTCAAAGATCTAGCTCAATTAAAATCAGTGTTATGCAACTATGCTGTTGCAAATGGGTACCAACTTTGCTTTGAGAAAAATGATAGGAAAAGATTGTTGGTTAAGTGTTGCAAGGGTGAGTGCACATTCAGGTTGGATGAGTGATGAATCAAGCTTCCAAATTAAGTCTTTAAAGCCAGACAACAAATGTGCAAGAAACTACAAGTTAGGGTCCATGTTCACTTATGCTTGGATAGGGAGTCATTATATAAGAGAGTTCTTACTTAGACAAAAGATGAGTGTTAGAAAGCTTGGAACAACTATGTCACATAAGTTTTGTATTCATGTAAGTGTTGGTCAATGCAGGAGAGCTAAGAAATATGCACTCCAACTAATAGATGGTACCCTAGTTGAACATTATGCAAAGTTATGGTCGTATGCAAAATAGATTAGGAGATCAAATCCAGGTAGCACTGTGAAACTTGATGTAAATCATATGTCAGATGGGAAGAACTACTTTAGTAAGTTCTATGTTTCTTTGATGCATTGAAGAAGGGGTGGAAGGAGGGATGCAAGAAGATAATAGGTTTAGATGGTTGTTTCCTTAAAGGGATCTGCAAAGGGCAGTTATTGTGTGCTGTTGGAAGGAATGCAAACAATGAGATTTATCCTATTGCATGGGCAGTAGTATGTGTGGAGAATAAGGAAAATTGGAGGTGGTTTTTGGATTTACTCTTTGATGACTTGGGACTTAACTTAGGCTATGGATACAATGTAATATCGGATCAACACAAGGTAATTTAATTGTTTGTAATTAATTTCCATAACTATTTGCATCCTTATACACTATACTTTCCATTTGTTAACAAGATTTGATTGAGGCTGTAAAAGAACTCCTTCCAATGTAGAGCACAGGCAGTGTGCCAAGCATATTAGTCAAAACCTTAGGAAAAGGTATAGTGGTGCCCAATATGAAAGCATATTCTGGAAGGCATGTAAAGCAACAACAGAGGTAGATTTTAAGGTTGCCATGAAAGAACTTGAAGTGCTAGACCCAAGTGCTCATCAGTATCTGATGTACAAAGATCCTAAAACATGGTCAAGGGCATATACTCCGAACCAGGAAGATGCTGTGATGTTGTGGAGAATGGAATGCCAGAAAGTTTTAATGTTGTGATTGTTGATGCTAGGAAGAAGCCAATTATCACCATGCCAGAGGAGTTGAGGATGTATATGATGGAGAGGGTGTTCAAGAAGAAATCCAAGGGCCAAGGATGGGGCAACCAAATTTGTCCAACAATTAGAGAATTAGTGAATGAGATTAAGAAATCTCAAAGACATTACCAAGTCTTACCTAGTGGACTAAATCAATTTGAAGTAAGAGGAACTACAGATGCTTATAAGGTGGATCTTGAAGAAAGAACTTGCTCGTGCAGGCTTTGGCAGCTTAATGGAATGGGTTGTGTCCATTCTGTTGCAGTTATTAGTTATATGAATAGGGATGTAGAGTCATATGTAGACAAAATGTTTAGTAGCATCACTTACATGAAGGCATACAAGTTTAGGTTAACACCTATGAATGGAAGTAACTTGTGGCCTGCAACTGATTATACCCCACCTTTACCTCCTGTTCGTAGAACTATACCTGGGAGACCTGCAACTAAAAGGAAAAGGGATGCAACAGAAAACCAGTTAAGTGAAAAATCAAAGAAGAGTACCCAAACACAAAACAAAGGTAAGCAGCAGGTAAAGGTATCCAAGGCTGGGAAAAAACAAAAATGTAGTCTTTGTGAGATTGAAGGACACAACAAAAGAGCTTGTACTCTGATAAGGCCTCCTAAAATCAAAGCTAGAAGAAAAACAAAACAAGTAAATAAGTATTTAGATGGTTAATTATTTACAATTTCTTTCTTAATTTCTAATATTGTTTCATATGGGTCAATCAGGGTGGTGCTCAAGGAGTCAGTGAGGGTGATGAAGTGAATGAAGGTAATTAAGGTAATGCAGTGAATGAAGGCGATGAAGTGAATGAGGGTGATCAAGCAGTCAATGATGATGGAGAAGCAGTCAATGAGGTGCATGTGCAACAACACTATGGTGATGTGGAACTCACTCCTTTGGAGTTTGATGCATCAGGAAATGGAGAACCTAGTCAGGTTCATGTGCAACAACAGGAGGCTAGAGAAACACCAATTACAGCCCTTTTGAAGAAAATCAGGAGGAAGAAATATGAAAGGATTATCAAGTTGAAGCTGGGCAAGATAGGTGGTGATGCAGATGCACCTAAGAATTCAGAAGCTAAACCTCTTACTCTAGAATAAGTTTAAGTGTTGGTTTATGTGATATAAACATGGTATGTAGTGTGAAATCATGTGTTTTGGTGTACTGTTGTTGTTTTTATGAAACTGCTGTCAATTATGATTGTTTGTATGAAACTATGTTGGTTTCTGTGATGTGTATTTTGTATGAACTAATTTTGGTTGTTATTTTGAGCTTTTTGTTATGTTATTTTGAAGTTGCATGCATGGCAAGGACTTGTGTGGTTAAACTGCATGTCAAGGGAATATATTTCCATATATAGCTAATTTTAAATTGTCATTGATTATGTCCTTATATACCACGTGTGGTCCATATGCCCTTATTTTTGCACAAAAAGGACCCCTACACAAAATTCAAAATACAATGCACTTTTAAATGGACCAAGTGTGGTCCTTATGGCCGACAATGTGGTACCCACACTTCAATTTTTAAATGGAGCACATGCATATCATTAAATTTAGCAATGTATATAACAAGTAGGATCTTTCATACCATTCATTGAATCTACAAAAATTCATTAAAATTTGTTCCCATCTACTGCCATCCCATTACATCTACCATCCCATACACACACTGATCAAACAAGCATTCAACCAAAAACCTGACTATTCATTACAACTAGGATCTAACCATGACTATGTGCCCATACACCCATACACTTCCCAAAAGCAAACAACTTTCTACATCCACCCATACACTTTCCAAAAAAAATGGTTGGAATTATATACCATCAACCATAAATACCTATTTGATCAGCTGTACTTTTCAAGGGCACTTCAACCACATGACAATGACTACAATGACCATAACAAAGATCCCACACTCCAGCAGACTGTTTTGCTTCATCAACTCCATCAACTGTGCCTCAAACACTTGCTTATCTGCTTCCATAGCTTGCTGCAACTTAACCAACTTCTTTTGAACCTTCGAAACTTCACTGAAGTCTTCTTTCCTTTTCAGTTCAAACCTCATCTTGCGAAGCTGGTCTTTGTAGTAACCAACCTCCATTTCTTTGTCTTTCCACATAAAAAACTTGCATTTTGGACCTTCAGCTGACTGATTAAAAGGGAAGACCAGAATTAGGGTTAGGGTTATGATTAACGAAAATGTGTACATTTCCAGCTCAAAATAACAAATACGGTGTAAGTAAACAAAATGAATACTCACCAAAAAGTTTTTGCAGTTCCAAAACCTTCGAGCTATGTTATCGTCAGTCCAGATAGTCCTTTCCACGCTTATTGAATCTTTACAATCACAAGGTGGACATGGTTCATCATCACGGAGGTTTCCGACACGCAGGAGGTTGATCGATCGACCGGAGGAGGCATACATTGCTCTGGTTATATCGATTGAGTGTAGAGTATCGGGAGGGAGGCACTGACCTAATTTGGGGTAACAATGTATTGTCGATGGTTCGAATGAGGGTTCCATTTAAGGAAGGTTTTCACGTTATAAGATGACATGATCAAATGGTTGTCCACATAAGCCAATACATGTCAGCAGTGACCCCTAAACCGGTAACATTTTCTCCAATTCATTTAATTAGCAAATATTTACTAACATTAAGGATCAATTGAGCACACAAAAAACGTTAGTGACTAAATGTGCAAATTGACCAAACATTGATGTGCTATAGTATCAAAAATCTTTCACTTTATCATACATATAAGTGCCAGCACAGTGATTAACAATATCACATATCATATAATTTTTTCTGATTTAGTAAACTATTTAAAGTAAGCTAATTTATGTATAAGAGTTATGTAGATTTTACAAATATGTAAGATAAAAATAATACCATAATTATGTCTAACATTTTGATCTAAACACAGTATATATCTTGGATTGTAAGCAAAACATAAATTATCATGTAAACAACTCATATTGAATTGTTGTTGGACGTTTATTATTAACATCAAAATGAGACATTGCAAGTATAGAACGCAAACAAGTAGTTGCAATATCATTATCAACAATATTCTCTTAAATCAACTTGGATATATTATTTTAACATCAAATAAAATACCGAGTTAGCGTTAGAAATATTGGTACTATGATTTTATAGTGGTTCGAACCAAACCGAACCTACTCGTCCTACTACCACTTGATGAGCTGAGCACTTTTCCGGATTTTCAATCCATTAAAAAATTCCTTATAAGGTAAGGTAAAACACAAGTCTTTCACAAATCAAACCGGTTTTTAATTTATCATATATATTCTTTAAAATCAATCCACAAAAACCTCCTAATTTTAGGCTATTATTATTATTTCCACATTATTAATATACTTAATCGATCACTTCTGCACAAAAAATAATTATTCTTATTCTTAAATATTAATATTACATGGAGGAATTACACATACTTTTCCAATTTTAACATTTCCATTCAGTTAATTCATTTGGGAATTATCACACTTACTATTCGTTATCACTCAAACTGTCAAAACATACATTTTCTGCAGTTGTGCACCAGTCTGATTTTCGTTTGTCCCTTTTCATCATTTTTTTTTTCACATTTCTTAATGTTACAAAAACCAACAAAATACCAAGCTTGTCAATGTACAAAGGGGTCAATTTTGCCAATAATGAAAATGAGGATGTCAATCGTATATTCAAAAAACCACATTTCAAGACCTAACTAGTTATATAAAAAGCAAGAATCTGTTCCACACGATATTCACAATTTATACAAAAAACTAGTTTATCAAGCGACCTTGTTCATCTAATACGTGCAAAAGAAGCAAATGGTTCTTCTGCCTTTGCAGCATCTTGCTTACTCTTACTCATTTCTGGTGTACCAAAAACATTCCACAATCTTAGCGTTTCATCAGCACCCACAGATGCAACTTTATACCCATCCGGACTCTGAAACACATACAACATAATAAAAACATTGCTATTATTGGTAAATAAAAGTCAATATATTGTTATTATATGGGTAGATTAGTATAAGTATACCTGTGTCATGTTTAGCACCCTTGAAATATGGCCATGGAGTTCAGTCAACTTAACCATAGAAGGATACTTCCAAAGTATAAGTTGATTGTCATTAAACCCATGAGAACTCAAAAGCTCCCTTTCATGTCTACTCCACAACAAAGATGACACCTGTGACCCCGTGTTGACAGAATTCAAGCACAAACCCGTGTTTGAATTCCAAAACTTTATACACTGGTCTCCTACTCCACCACCAGAAGCCAGTAAATTGCTCTGGAATGGACACCAAGATAAGGCTTTTACAGCAGAAGTATGGTCAGCAAAGCGGTGGACCCTTCGATTTGACTGGAGGCTCCATATATTGATAAGGTTGTCATTGCCACCACTCGCCAGCTGTTGACCGGACGTTGACCATTTTAGTCCACAAACTTCTTGATGATGGCCTCTGTATGTTTCAATGATATGTGATCTTATTCTCACATCATTGTTGATGATTAAACTGTCCATGCTTCCTGTTGTTAGTATGTGATTGTTCCAATCGAGTGACCCCACCCTTCCTCCATGTCCTTCTTGTAATGTTCTCAGCTGATTAAATAAAAAATAATAATAATATAAGTTTTTCAAGATCTTAAAGAGTATTGAAAGAACAAGAATTCATAACATGTTTGTTACCGGTTGATTGGTGGAAATGGAGGCATCCCAGAGCTGAACCTCGGAATTGTTGAAGCCCACTGCAATGTGTCTTCCATCTGGGGCCCACTTGACACTTGTAACAGGGCCACTATCATCATCGGTTGATAAAAGTTCAGAGGTTGACCCATGTGAAGCATCCCACAGATAGACAGTATTTCCAAGAGCAATAGCAAGCGTATTTGTGACACCCCAATCAAGCAGATTCAAATAGTAGTCATCTACAATGTCAGGTGCATCCAAAGTTCTTTCACTAGACTGTTGAACAACACATAAGAATGAAGAATCTTATCAACTGACCACAAATGAAAAGATGATGGTTGAAGAAAGAAGAAGACTTACTTGTGAAATATGTCTGGCACAACGCTTTGTGGATCTCAACTTAGGGGAAACTGGGGAAGTCTCTTTGAGACTATTGAGTGAAGAGGGTGGTTTGTTTTTGAATGAAAGGATCCGTGTCCTGTTCATGTTGAAGATTTCTGCAAGCTGCTTCCTGTAAGATTCTTTAGCAGGTGAACATGGAGATGTACTTTTGTTTTCAACCTTCCTTCCCGAAAGCATGTAGTTTGCATAGTCAAAATCCATTGCAGAACGATTTGGGATGAACCTGTCCAACTGTCGTAACAAAATGAAAATTTCAATTCAAAAACAAAAGTCTGACACACCATCACAAAATTCTGATTAACAGTGTGATTATAAATCACACATCAAGAAGAAGATAAATTATAACAAGATTCCACAATCGGCATACAAAACCTCATACAACACAAAGGGTCTCATAAAATCGAGATAAACCCTATTTTTTTCCCACAAAACCTAGCAATCAAAACCAGAATAAAACAACGAAACCGAAACCTGTACAAGAAGAAGACAAATACACACGCGCTTACATTTTCATCACGAGAACTCCTCCTTCGATGCTTGCCATGGGAAAGAGAAGATGATTCGACGGACAGATTTCCTGCATCCATAACCAATTTCAAGATCAACTAACAACAAAATTATATAGAGAAAACAAAAGTGTACGCAGAAACAAATAACGATAAACAAAATTGAAGTATGTGAGGAAGAGTTCGAGCAGCAATTGCAAGAAGATGGAAGAGAGAGATGAGTTGATGGCGGAATCGAGCAGATTGGCAGCAAGAAAAAAACGCGTTTCAGAGAACTTGGATATGGTGGTTGATATTTTTCTGCAACGGCTACATAAAATATATACGTTATTGTTTGTGAATAAATGGGCTGGGTCGGGTTAAAAGCAATGGGTCGGACTCAGATGGGGCGGGCATTTTTCTTTTAATAATTTATATACTAAAATTAGGTTTTAAAATTAGTATTGCAAGGGAGGACGGTTAACCAAATCAAAATTATATTTAG